CACTCGCGGCGCCTACAGGATGGAGAGGTGGAGGGGACGGCCGTGTGTGGCCCCGCCCCGTCCCGCCCCGCCACACCCCGCCACGCCCCGCCACGCCCCGCCACGCCCCACCATCCCCGCGTGGGCATGGATGCGCGTGGGGCCCGGGCGCGGAGGAGTTAGGCCCTGGGCTGGCCGGGGACGCCGCGGCCGCGCCTCGTCAGTCGAGCCGGAGTGGTGCTGGAGCCGAGTCAGTCGTTGAGTCACCCGCCGCGCCGCGCTTGTCGTCGTCCCGATCCGAGTCGAGCAAGTGCCGTGCCGAGTCGAGCCGGGCGGGCCGAGTCGAGCCGAGCCGAGGCAGCCGCGTCGCGCGTGCCGCGGTCGGGACCCAAGAGGCTGGAGGTGTGCGCTCCCCGCGACACCCACCTCGCGCCCCGCGCAGTTTCTGCTGCAACCCAGCAAGGATTTTTACTTGCCACTACTTGCTTGCTACTACTGCCGTGTCGCCGCGGTGCCTCGCATTGGATTTCCTTCCCGCCAGGACCCGCCATGTGCTGATGTAAGTACGTCATTTGCATGGTGGTGGTTGCAGCAGGCTCGGCACAAAGGGTACGGCACAAGCCTTTAATCACCTAATTATCCCCCATCGCACCTCACAAGAGGCGCGCGCACAAAGGACGTGCGGCCGGCCGGGCCTCGGGCCGGGCACAAAGGGTATGGCGCGCGTTGTCGAGTAGCTTGTGTCAGTGATGGACCCCCCCGGCACTGGCCGGCACTGGCCAGGTGGTGGCGATTGAGCCATCAGCCCAGCGCCTCAGCCCGTTATTGGGGCACCCGCCTCGCGGCCGACCAACTCTGTGCTCTCTGGTGCTCTGGCTGTATGGCAGGCGCAACGCCCTCCCTACTTCTGCTCGACGCCCTATGCCCTACGCTTTTCTTGTGCCCTACGCCCCTTCTTCCGCCCTTCGCTCTTCTTGCGCCCTACGCCCCTTCTTCTGCCCTACGTTCTGCTTTTGCCCTTACCCGCCCCACACCTGACCTACGCCCTGCTCGGCCCTGCTTTTGCCCTACGCCCTATGCTCCTGGTGAACACCCCGCTCCTGCCCTGCGCCCAGCTTCTCTGCTCGCGCCCTGCCCCGCCTCTGTCGGTCGTTTCTCGTTTAAGTGTAGGGAAATTCAGAAACCCCCGGAAAAGAGAAAAAGAAAAAGGGTCACGGAAAAAAACGTGTTATAACACTACCGCATCCTTATTGCGTCAGTCCCGCGCTCTGACTCGTCCGAACAAATTGACTGCCGCTAGGTGCGTGTGAGTGTGGGCGGGCTGTCGCTGTTTGGGAGCGCACCCCGGCTGGACGGGCCGGACCCGCGGCCGTCTCGCAGATGGCGTGTGTGGTGGAAGAGCACGGGCGTGGCGTGGCGCGGCCTGCAGCCAGGCGATGCCCATCTCATTTTCAGACACGGACTGCGCTCGGAAAGCGAAAGCCTCGGTGTCGATGGTCGCGCGCCTCGCGGTCCGTCGTGTGGGCGGCGGCGCCGTTTGGCGGCCGCGCGAGTTCGAAGCCTCCTCGTCGTCGGGCAGGTGGCGCGGACACACAGGTCGTTCTCACGCGCGCACGCCCGTTCAACGAGGCCCTGCCGCCCTCCACTCTCGCTTGACCCGCCGGCCCTTTAACGCGTGCGCCCTGGCGATGCACGTAATCGAGCATGTGCCGTGTGCGTCGGGGAAGCGAAGGCCGACCGCGCGAAGGGAAAGGTTTGCGTGCGTTCGACTCTCTCGGGGGGAGTGAATGAGGGTCTCGTCGCAAAGGGCCCACTTGCTATTTTGGCCCTTTGCGGTCCACGCCATGGGCGCAGCACCCACCCCGCCACGCACTGGAGCCTGGAGCCCTGAGAGCGGGAAAGTGTCGATGGCTCCATCAGGCCGGAGGCGGAGGAACCCTCTCTGTGGGAACGGCGGCCCTTGGGCCCTTAGGGCAGCGGCCGCGGAGCCTTGAGCGGCCGACGCGTCGCGCACCCCGGCGGCCGCCCGCCCCCGCGGGGGTCAAGTAGTGCCATCTCCTCATTGTTCTTGCCACTTGCTGTTCCCCCGCCACAAAACAAAAAACAATAAGGGTCAGGCAGGGCGCCGTTGCGCCAGGCGCGCCGCCCCCCCGGGGGGCTGACGCAAGCCAACCCAATTGAACTCTCGCGACGACGCGACGCGCGCTTGATTGTCCGACTGAGTGTGTGTCCAGCTAATTGCGTGCCCCCAGGGTGCCGATGGCTTTTGTGGCCCCCGCGCGCCCGCGGCCGGGCCGGCACAGCAACCTGGCCTGGGGATGCACAGATGAGATCGGGCGGGTGGTAGGCGCAGCTGTCGCAGCTGCAGCGCGTTCCCATGAGTGGGTCAGGGTGGGTTTGGCCGGCGGGGCGGGGCGAGGCGAGGTCAGGGCCGCGAAGGGTTATGTCAGGCGGCTCCCCTGTATGGCGCGCGTCCCTGGACCGGTGCAGGCGGGACGGGCCCGGCGCAGTGCGGCCGCCCGGGGCGATGCTCGCGTTTTGACTGGACCGGCCGGGCCTGTCGCCGTTGCGGCAGGTCGGGGCGGGCGGTGCAGCAGCGGACCCGGTGGGGCCGCGCCGCGCCGCTGACTCAAGGTGAGGGGGCCGTCATCGCCATCTGTGCTCTTTCCGGTCCATGCCGAGAAGCGCCCGGGGCCTGGGGTCGGGGCTGGGACCCCGGGGGGTCGCCAGGAC